TTACAAGTTTTAAAAGTTGGGTGACCTAAACGCAAGCTTCAAAAAAGTTCAGTGACCATTAGTATACTTTACCCTATTTTGATTTGAAGTGAATGATTTAACTCCCCGTGCTCTCCAAGTGACTGCAAATTAAAATTTATCAATTCCCTCGATTCAATCCCTAACCCTTGCTCTGGAATCTCCAATTTCCACTCGTCTAATCACCATTCCTCTTCTCAACCTTGATTAGGAACTGGTAAGAGTTGACGCAACCTTGATTTTGCCACATGTTCCACCTTAATCTATTAGCAAATATCACATTTCTAAACATAAGCAGTCACCAAAGCTTTAAGTTTTTAGCTAGTATAAATGAGACTTAATTTGGTGATAGGTAGCTTGAATTCCTGAATGTTCTTCTTGTGGTGAATTATAGAGGCTTTGTAATACCTGCAACCTAAGATTGCATGTTTTCCCAATATAAACTCTACCATTGTACCTCAGCATGCCCTTAGTGTATTTCCACTTATCATTAGTAGTAGGATTCATTGTCAGCATTAAAATCTAGTCAGATGCCAGTTCATCTTGTTTATTATTCCACTTATCATTAGTAGTAGAATTCATTGTCAGCATTAAAATCTAGTCAGATGCCAGTTCATCTTGTTTATTATTGTTCTTTACTTCTTAGACCCAATTAGGGATTAAAGTTGTAACCCCATTATTTAACCCTCTTCTTGATCCTCATACTATTTAGAAAGGGCATATGCAACCAAATTATTTTCTCATTATCTATACTAAATAGTGTAGTCCAATCCCAAAAGTTTGGTCAAACTCTTCTTTTGTATGATTGTTGTGAATTTATGTTATAGGAGAAATTTTAAAGGCTCATGGTTTGTTTTTGTGACAAAAGGTCCTCATTCTAAGTAGTGTCTTCATTTAGAGATTTTCATTAGAATAGTGAGATATTTTCTTTTATACATAGACAATTCATAATGCCTAGGTAATAAGGCTTTACTAAGGAATGCAATTGGTCTTTCTCCTTGTGATAGAACGACACCTACCCTTTTTGAGCTAGCATCTGTCTCCAAGTAGAAATTCTTAGAGAACTTTGGTAAGGCCAATACTAGTGCAACACACATAGCCCCCTTTAATGTTTCAAAAGCTACTAACCCTTCAAGAGACCATTTAAAAGAATCATTCTTCAATATATGTGTTAAGGGTCCACTGATGGTGCTATAATCCTTAATGAACCTTCTACAATATTCAGTGAATTCCAAAAATCCTCTAATAGATTTAAGACTCTTAGGTAAGGGCCAATTTTTCATAGCAATCACCTTGTCAGGATTAGTAGATACCCTTGCAGTAGAAATGATATGACCAAGATATTTCACATGCTTTTGTCCAAAGAAACATTTGGACAGCTTGGCAAATAATTGATTTTTCTCTAAAATCTCCAAAATCAAACTGTAAATGCTTAACATGATATTCCATAGTAACATTATAGATCAAAATATCATAAAATTTAGGACAAATTTTCTCAGATAAGACTGAAATAAATCATTCATAAGTGCTTGAAATGTAGCAGGGGCATTAGTAATGCCAAAAGGAATTATCTTAAATTCAGAATGGCCTTGATGTGTTCTGAAGACAGTATTATAGATGTCATCTCCATAAAGTTCATCCTACATATCCTTCACCACTGGTAGAGATAATTTGTTCTTCACTGTCATGTTGCTCAATTTTTTATAATCCACATAAAACCTCAAAGTTCCACCCTTCTTTTTAATAAGTAAGCATGGTGATGTAAATGGACTTTTACTAAGTTGAATGATTGATGAAGACTGCATAGTAGCAATCTGCCTTTCCACTTCAACTTACTGGCGGTAAGCAAATTTGTAGGATCTTAAATTGATTGGTGTAGATCCTGGTTTCAATGTGATGGAGTGGTCATGATTTCTACTGGAAGGTAGTCCTTTAGGCTCCTAAAATATGCCATTGTAAATGGTTAATAGTGGTTGAATCTTTAAGGTAATAGGTGAGTGAAGAGTTTATATGCTCATCATGAAATGTGACCAATTAAGTCAGGGTCTTGCATTGTCATCTTCTGTAAAGTAGCTCCTGAAACTTGCTGAAGTGCTTTAAAATTCTATTGACCGTGAACAACAATTTATTCTCCTTATCTTTGGAAAGTCACTGTCAAGTTGTTGAAGTTCAATAGAATATGATTGAAGAGCTTCATCCAATCCACACCTAGAACCATATCACTGCTTCTCAAATTAAGTACCCTAAAATCATGTACAAAAGAATGATACTGCAATTTCCACTGCACCTTATTGTATTTGGCTGATCTAAAGAGTTTTTTTAACTTTAGTCACATCAATAGCTAAAGGATAAGTGCTTACTAGGCTTGTTGCTTTTTCAACCCACTTAGGAGTTAGGAAACTATATGTACTACCACTATCAATCAAAATGCTTAATGGTTTGTTTTTAATGTTACCCTAAATTCTGAATGTATTATGGCCAACACAGCCTATAATGATATTAATAGATATCTCTAGATTTTCCTCCTTATTATCCTCTTCCTGAACTCTTAATTCTGATATAGGTGCTTCCAAAGGATCTCCACTGTCATTTTCCAATATCATGTGCTTGCAATGATGTCCTAGAACAAACTTATATCCACATTTAAAGCATAATTTGTTCTGTCTCATATAGTTCAGTATGTTTTGCTTTGTTTGATTGTTGAGTTGGGGCTTTGAAATGATTGAGTTGGTGTTTGGTTTTGGGAAGTTGTTAGGGTTACGTAGGGTGGGTTTTTGAAACTTATTCTATGCCCTTTAGCCTCGAATTAAACTGAAAGTTTTATATAATTTGATTTGTCTACTAGCTCCTGCTACATATTTAAGATCCATAACTTTAACTCTATATTTCAGTTCTTCCTTGAGTCCACTAATGAACATAGAGACAAAGAATTCTTCTCATAATGTAGGATTCTACATCAGCATATAGGGTTTTAGTTCTTCAAATCTATTCTAGTACTCATCCACTGTACTCTTTTGTATCTGTTTGATGAACTTCTCAATAATATAAGGGAATGACCTATCATTAAATCTGTGGCATAAATCTTCCCCGAACTCATGCCAATACACCTTTAGATTTTGCTTAATATACCCGTTAAACCAGGTTTCAGTTCAACCTATTAAGTACATTGTTGTGATTTCAACTCTCTACTTATCAGACACTCCACAAAAGTAAAAATGCTTGTGACACTTTTGGACCCAACCCCTCGGGTTGACCTCATTCAAAGAAAAGTAAATATAAAAATAAATTAGCTGACCCTTATTCCCATATGTAATGGGGTAAAGGGGAGGTAGGATAGTAGGCTGCCCCCAACGCCAGGTTGAGAGCAGCTTCCGTAGGAGACCTCCGAATTATGAATTGCCCTCCGTGGGACTCGATCCCATGACCCCAAGGTTAAGAACCTTGTGCTCTACCAACTGAGCTGGATGGTCAAAGAAAAGTAGCTCTGTTAATTATGTAACATAGAACCTGAGCTGTTAAAGGATCCTCCTAACCATTTTCTATTATCATCTGATCCTCATAGGTTCTAATTCAAACCACTATTCTCTCTCGTTTTGTTATCTACCCTCAAGTTTGATTGTGCGGTTTGATATTCATCATGTTTGGATTTTAGAATCTCAGGCTCATCAGTTTTATATGAAAAACATGACTTATCATTTATATAACTGTTACCATAGCAAGTTTCTTTCCCATTGCTTTCGAGTTTGAAGGGGTTTGTACCTGATCACCTTCAGAGGCATATTCCTCCCAGCTAGAATCCTTAATTTGTCTTTCACTTACCCTTGATTAGTGTTCATTCGATTTTTTAGACTAGTGATGCGATCATCTTGTGTTGCCCCCCACTTAGGAGAGTTTGAATCATTTTTGGCTTGTTTCACTAGTGTGGCCAAATCTTCGATTTGCTTTTGAATAGCAAACAAATCAGAAGACTCGGTCATTAGCAATTGTTATGTGCTCAATTGGAAAGAGAAGAATTTGAGGGCATAAGAAGAGAAGCGAATTGATATTTTAGAAAAGAAACTTCATTTACAATATGCATCCCTTTCCCTACATTTGGTACCGATTTTATTTGTTTACATAGTACATCAAATATGCTAAAATAACCAGCTGGCTGTCCCTGGCTAACCAACTTAATTTTCTGTTGCAGGTGATTGGGCTCTTCTTTTCGGGCATACACATTCTCCATATTTGATCTGAAGTGGATGATTTAACTCCCCCGTGTTCTCCACGTGACTATCAGGTAAAAATTTCCAATTCTCTCTATTCAATCCCTAACCCTTGCTCTGGAATCCCTAATTCCTTTCGTCTAATCGCCCTTCTTCTTCTCCTATCATAACAGAGTTGTGGTAATACTTTGTTTTAAGTTGATCAAACCTAGCTGACCCATTAATATCCCTAAATACATCTCAAATTAACCTCAAGGAAGGGACAACAAGCTTGATGCAATTGAGTAAAACTAAACAAAGAAATCGAAAAAAATAAAAAAAAAATGATTTAAATAATGATATTCGATTCAGTTTCAATTTAATTATTAGTTAACAGCATTTGATTGACAACTTTAGGAGATACAATTATCCGAATAAAGGCAACTTATATTATTTGTAATATTTTCTTATAATACAAAGAATAACATTTTATGTATCAAATTAGTAAAGTTACTTAAATTACAACAATGCGGGGTCTTTTACTTTATATTTCTTTTAATAATATTGGGTAGAATTTTGTAAATTACAACAATGACCAAGGCATAATTTTATGATCACCGTTCAATTCTAGCAAGCTGAAATATACTATATATATTACTGTAAATGACATGATTCTATATCATTCAAAGAGAACACTACTAAATTGAATTACGACATATTTGCGCGGCCAATTCTTGCTTCGAACATTCAATTGCAGAGCAGAAATCGGTAGCACTATACTATACACAACAAGATAGTGCATACCGGCTCTTTCACTTGTTTTGTGACTCCATGTGTTCGAAGCAAAAGAAATGAAAAACAGTCCGAATAGGAGATCATTAAGAAGCACACAGATCAGCCATGCCATCATTGCTTCAATGTCATCATTGTCCATGCAGGGGGCGACAATGGCGGAACAGCTGCTTCCTCATGAGCTGCACTAGCTTCAATTCCCAGCATCTTCCTAACAGATGGTTGATGCTGTCTGTTTCTCCCAATCTTTCTTGAAGTGTGAGAGGTCGGGGAAATGACTCTAGATGTGTTACTACTCTCAATGGACGCTAAAAACTTGTCCTTTGAAATAGTACTAGGGGCATTTGCAATAACGGAGCTGAATATGCCGGGGGCATTTGCAATAACGGAGCTGAATATGCCGGACTCTCTTAAACCTTGTATTATAGCCTGAGACAGCACAACAGCATTAACAGGAAGAGGTGATGAGAAGAGCTTGTAAAGAGAAATTTGAACACTTAATTGAAGCATAAAAACAAATCGAAAAATGTACATTCAAGTGTAAAGAGAATCTAAAGATCCAAAATGTTCATGTATTTCCTAATCTCACTGCATATATCTATCCAAAATTTTCATGTGCATTCTAGTTTCCACTAATGTCAAGTAACTGTCCTTACCGTTGGAGTGTATATGCGAGTTAAAATACCCTTTCTCAGGAGTTTAAGCCTTAGGTCTTTGTCACCCCACACAACATGTTCACGATACCTACAATAACCAGAACCAATATAGTTTAACATCAGCACATCCCCACAATACTAAAAGGAACAAATTATTAGAAAAAATATAAAAAAGGACCCTGCATTCAATCATGTACCAGTTAAGCATCTCTTCATCTTTTGCAGTTGAAGCAATTATAAATGCCTGCAAAAAGTAATCATTTACGTAGATAATCAAACAACAGTTGGAAGGAAATGATATCCATAACAAGCAATAATATGATGTGCAATTATACATAAGAGAGCAACCCAACTATATAACACATAAACCACAATTTAACCCCAAAAAATCTTGGTCCATGCGTAAAGAACAAGGGAAAATGGAACCAACTGGACAACTCAAGATTCCATTAAATCAAAATTCAAAATGTTCATTTGCGACGTAATACAAACTTGGCTGCCTGCTGACTACCTCAGAGGAATATTAATCATAAAGCAGATGCATCATAATATTGCTTTAGGAAATGCTTGGGACCCTATCAAACATCACTCCTAATATTGCTCCCAATCTTATGAGTGTCAATTATTGAAATGATCTTCAATGCTTCTAGAAACCTATTAACATGTCCTTAAGTTAATAGTCTTCCCTTTAATTTAGGCTCTCCAGATTTCTCAAGTATAGATAACATGAGTACACGACCCAAAGTCTTTATTTCACAGTGGTAAATAGCTAGTTCATATCTCTTAATGTTTAACTGTCTTTTCAGTTTTCCTTGATAGCTTGTTGTGTTTCCCATATTCAAATACTTACTACAACTCATAAGCAGTAAATATGTATATGAACCAAAAATAACACGAGGTGTTAAACTTACAGCTCTATCAAATTCCAACATGAAGCATCTTTTGACATCTTCCTTGGTAGGCTTGCAGCCACACCGGTCACGTCTAGATGTTAGATCTGATAATTTGGCATAAGTGTAGTGTAGAACAGCAGCCTCCTCCAATTTGATTTCACTTTAAAAAGAAAAGAAATGTAAATAAGTGTCACTTGTATGTACATAGAAAATGATATGAACATTAAGCAGCTCCATTCTCCAAAATCACATTTTCAATTAAGATGTGCTTATTCAAGATATGATGTCAACATAAAACATGCTCTCATTATCAATGATCAAGCTGCCCTCAACCCTTGAAGATATATGCAAGAATGCATGTCAAACCACATAAGGATTTATGATGTAGGAGCATTGGATTAGGTTATCTCATCATGATTTTCTATAAGTGCACAGAGTCACCATACTTTGGTGTTTTCATATAATTGTGCCATCTGTGAGCACCATTAGGACGAAGATGATCCTGAATACGGGCAGCTGCTTTTCCATTCCCATAAGTCAAGAAATAATTTGGATTACCACGAGTTGATTCTTTATACATTCCAAAGTAGGTCTCCTTTGGTAAATGATCATAGTTCTTCTTGAACATTGACACCTGTTTGTATGGATAGAAAGGTAAGCCACTTGAGAAATTCCAAATTGTAACTTCAGCCACTCCATTTACTTAACTAATGAAAAGCAAGGAAAAAGAAAGTGATGATTTACCTCGGTAAAAGGATCCTTGATATCATCCCGTTCAACACTGCTCTCCTAAACAAAAAGGAACAAAAATTCTACTATCAAACATCACAGGCCAGTCCAAATGAATTAAAAGATATCCAATCATAACCGCCAGTTCGAAGCTCCCTTTTGATAACTTTTCTCATTAATTTATATAATGTCACTCACATAGTTGGGAAATATGACCATATCGACGTTGTTAGGTACATCAAGTAGCAACTGCCTCAAAGAATATTCACGTGCACCAGCTGGGTGTATTAGCTCATCAGTATCAAGATGAAGTATCCAGTCCATTCCAGCATCCTTACATTTCAAATTCAAAAAGGAAAAAAAAATAAGCATAAGATTACTATGCTAACAATTACAAATAACAAGTATTTTAATTCATGAAAATATAGTCATTCATGGAGCGTACCCTTGCCATGACAATGGCCATTTCCATATTAAGAGATTGCTTTACAAATAGCTCATAATTGCAAGGTTTGTAAAAGAAACTTGACAACCATGTTTCATTCCAGATCCGGCTGAAACCCACATAAAAATATCACAAGTTACAAAACAGAATGCCATTTTGACCAAAAATAAAAAGGGACTTGTTTCTAGAGAACCAGAAAAGAAAATATAATGAAAGCAAGCAGAAAATAAATGCAAAATATAGACAGTTTCTCACCAGTATCCTCCACATTCTAGTTGAACAAAAAACCGGAAGAAATATAGAAAAACTAAGAGATGCATTTTAATCATAAAAGGGGAAAAGTTAATTGACCTTTTAGCCTGCCGCTCTTCAAGCTCTCTTGTTCTGTATATAACTTTCACTCCCTGAAGAGTAAAAACATAAAACTTATGCTATAAGCAATTCGAACAAACAACAATCACAGGTAAATCAGGTGGAACAATTCAACTTATAAATGAAAAACATAGAAAACTATATCAGAGGTATCTAAAGGCATTGGAAACTCACCGAAATAGATTCCAAAACTTTAGAAACGTTTGGAGATGCCGCGTGCCCTTCCACAAAGAGGAAAAAGGTAGCGACTCCAATAACCTTATGATAAAACATCCATGGTAAAATCTGTTCCAACCCAGCTGATGTACTTGTTGTAACCCAGCTGAGTGTTATAAACAACCTCTCTAATTGCCTCCACGCTCTAAAGGAAAACTCAACTACAAGAAACAAGGAAGCTATAAACTTGAATTAGAACTTCCACACATAATGAATGTACATACTAACTATAATATTGATTTGATGAGGAAGAAAATCAATTGACAAAAGAACTTTATACGCAAAATTTTGAAATAAATTCAAACAAGAGGTCAAGTGTGAGGAAGACAAACACTAGAAAGTTAGAATTCATAATAAGATTCTCGACCGAAAGTAAAGAAAATGGAAAGGATCTAAGCCAATGTTGGAGATTTTAAATAGGATCACAAGCTGAAACTACAACAGTTAAGTAATATCCACCAAATTACAGCCAGCAAAATAAATCACCCAAAAGCAAGTTTCAGATCACCCACCTTGGGCCTTAAATTAGCTTCAAAACCAAATTTCCAGTCTCCGTAGTAAGGGAGAGAAGGAGAAGAGCCACGACCAAGATTGATGCAATCAGAAGAAGAATGCGATTTGGTGGAGAGCGATGAGAAAGTCTCCATGCCAGGGAAGACCTCGTGGTGGGATCCCCGTGGTGCCCATCGGGAATAGGCGCCAGATGTGGCGATGGTGGGATCGGATTCACCCCCTCCGCGCCACTGTAGAACGAAGGCAAACGCAGCTAAAGACAGAGAGATGAGTGTTAGGAGAAGCAGAAGTTTAGAGAGGAATGACTGAGAGGAAGAGGAGGCGGCTGACGTGGCGGAGGATAGCAGCGGAGTTGAGCGATGGTGGTGGCTGGGCATTGTGATGGTTGGAGCAATAACAAACGAAAAGGAAATTCAAACCAATGCACTTCTCAATTGTTAAATTAAAATAGTAAAAGAAAAAAAAGCGCTTATTTATTATACTTAATTTTTGGTATGTAAAGAATTTTGTTTAGAAATAAGTCTATGATATTTTATCAGTCACATTTTTAAGTGTTTATTATTAAAATATTATTAAGTAATACGTGTTGTTTTTATTTTTTTTAAAAATATTTTTAAATAACATTTTATTTTTTAAATAAAAAATATAAACGTAAAATATGTCACTGAAGATTTTTTTAACAATAAACACAAAAAAATATAACGGAGAAAACGTTAATAATTTATATTTAACCAAAATCTTTTAGTCTTTAGATACCAAAAGTTACCTTTACGAATAATTTAAACACTTATTCTTATATTAAACTTTAAAAAATAAGTAAAATAAAATAATATTATGAATATTTGTTATCTATTATTATTAGAGTTTTACGTATCTGATATAATATTTTTATTTTTATTGAGAAATATAAAGTTTGAAGAAAATGAAATATATTTTATATTAAAAAATAGTGGAGAATTATTTTTATTTTTTATATGAATAAGAATTCTTTTTAGAGAATTTTTGTTAGAAATTAAATTTCATCCTTCATCTGATTTAAGATAACTCTAAATATATATTTATTAAACAAATATTTATATTATTGATATAATATATAATTATTTGAGATAAAAACCCTAATCAACAATCAAATAAAATAAAGACTCTCTAATTAAAGAAGCAAGAAATAGAGATGAAAATTCCATTTAAAAGTTTGGCAGCACTAGTGGTAATTCTTATCTACTGCGGGAGTTATTTAAAGAAGCACGGCAGTCTTGACAAAAGCTTCCCATGGTCATTTACCAACCCTAAGAAGGGTAGGGGAGGTCGAGGTAGAGTCATTAAAAATATTTTTAAGATAAACGTTTATATGTCCAAATAATATATAAAATTTTTATTCGAAATAATCACAAATAAAATTTTAAAAAACCATTCCAATTAATGATTCTTTAAAATCACATTAGGTTAAATTAGGCAATTAATTATACAATTATAAATAATTTTCATTTCAATCACTCAAATGACACGACTAACGGGATGTATCTTTGCATACATGGTAAAAGTTAGGTTAACTACAAGATTAATTATTTATGTTTATGTTTTGTCCACTATTTTTAATGATTTAAAAATCATAACATATGATTACTTTCATTTCTATTTAATTAATATGTGGTGATCATATGTTAATTGTTGTTAACAATTAACAAGTTAGGTGACGTGATATTTTAGTATAATCACATATTTGATCCTGTTATTTATATATTCTCTCAATTTAGTCATATTTTTAATAAACTAAAATAAATTCAATCATCCAATCGAATGATGTCATGTGTCACTGTGTCATGAGTCATGTCACGTGTTATCATTTGGTTGGAGGACTAACTTTATTTTAATTTATTTTAAATTTAGACCAAACATTGATGAAAAATAAATATATTAAATTAAAATTAACTAAAATAAAGTTAGTCCTCCAACCGAATGGTGGCATGTGACATCATTCGATGAGGATTAAATTTAGGGTAAAGTATAATAATGGTCACTGAACTTTTCTTAAGCTTTCAATTAGGTCTCCAACTTTTAAAACTTGCAATATAGTCCCTCAACATTTAGTCCGTTTGCAATATGGTTCCCCAACAGTTACGTCGGGGACCATATTTCAAACGGACTAAATGTTGAGAGACTATATTGCAAACGGACTAAATGTTTGGGGATTATATTGCAAGTTTTAAAAGTTGAGGGACCTAAATGGAAGCTTTAGAAAAGTTCAGTGACCATTACTATACTTTACCCTAATAATAATTTGGGGCAATTTACTTATGGAGTTAATGTGGCAATAGTATTAACAAAAACAAAAACTTACTCCAAGGTAAGTAAATATTTGTGTAACTCATTCAAGAAACAATAAAATTTTATAGGAAAAACAGTCCAGATCTCCGACAGATATTGTTTTAATGATCAAATTGAATAATTATTTTATGGGGAGGCAACCAGAAATCGTGAATACATTTACGGCCAAAGAAGAGAAAGTATGATCGTTTATCTCCCCCCTTTTGTTTTCTGTATGAACTAAAATCTCTTTAAATTCTCTCATTTCTCCTGCTTGAAGCAGTCATTTGATCTACCGTGAAAAAGCCCAGTCCTCATATAGCCGTTCATTGTTATATATTGACATGAATATTTGAAATTGTATTGGGAATTTCAAATCTGGTTTTTGATTCAGTGCAAGGTTTGGTTTACCTGAAAATTTTGTCAAAATTTATTGATTGATTTGTGCTAAAAAAAAGTGACGATTTTATCATAAGAATTGATAGGCTCATGAATTTTAACTGGATTTTAATGTTGGGGTTTTCTCTTTAGATTGAATAAAGCTGAAAAGAGAGAAGTTGAAGGAATTTTTCTAGTTTAAGTAGTGATGGGGAATCCATTGTTTTATGAGATATTGGAAAACCAGCAACAAGCTGTATAATAGGAATCTGTAGTGGAATATGGTATTACATCCAGAAGAAGAACATTGGTTCTCAGCATGTCGGTTTAAGTTACGAAACGCTGTTGGAAGGGCAATATTGGAGAGTAATTACTTCAGCTTTTTCACATATAAGTGCTCATCTTGTATTCAATATGAGTGCCCTTTGGAGTATTGGTGTTGTTGAGCAATTAGGCCATTTAAGCCTCGGAGTTAGGGCTGTTCATTCGGTTAATTTGGTGACCGACCGAACTGAATTATCATTAACCGAATTTTTTTTTTCTTTAACCGTTAATTGAACCAATTTTTTTTCAAAAATATTAACCGAACCGAATAAATTTTCGGTTAATTTTCGAATAAACAGAAAATTTTTAAAATTTTCTAATTTATATAAAAATTAAATATTTTTTTAATTCAAAAAAAAGTTTCTAATTAATTTAAATAATATATAATTATAAAATAAAAATTTTATATAATTTTTTAATTAATTAATATTGATTTAAGTTTAAAAGTTATTGGATCTTAAATTATTAATTGAGTTTTAAATGGTTTGGGCTGAGCCCATATATTATATATAATATATATAATATTTTTTAATTCAAAAAAATAGTTTACAATTAATTTAAATAATATATAATTATAAAATATAAATTTTATATAAATTTTTTAATTAATTAATATTGATTTAGGTTTAAAAATTATTGTATCTTAAATTATTAATTGAGTTTTAAATGGTTTGGACTGAGCTCATATGTTATATATAATATATTTAATATTTAAAATTAAATTTCAGTTAATTAATCGATTTCGAACCGAATTAACCGTTAACCGAATTCTAAAAAAATTTTTAACCGTTAACCGACCGAACTAATTCATTGGCCAAACCGAATGAATCGAACTAATTTGATTCGGTCGGTTAACCGAATTAGTTCGAAAATTTGAACACCCCTACTTGGAGTGGCTTATTACCTTCATTACACACTTGTTTTGGTTGTTGTGTCGGGGTTGCTCGTGTTGGGAATGTACCATTTGTTAATTCAGCGGTTTAAGATTGAGTATTTCCGGCGAGTGATTGCTGTCGGTTATTCTTGTGTCGTTTTTGGATGGATGACGGTTTTGTCTGTGAAGCAACCTTCATCAAAGTTGGATCTCTTTGGATTCCTTTCGCTTCCTATTAGTTTTGCGCCATTCGAGTCGTTGATTTTCACTTGGATAATTGTTCCGCAAGCAAGTTTTGTTGGACATTTATCTGGAATCATTGTGGGGTATGCTATAGCTTGGGGCTTGATTCATGGGATGACCAGTTATTGGGAAGCTTCCATGGTGGGATGGATTGCAGTAGTTTCCGCATTTAGTTTGAGACATTCTGGGGCATATGATTTCGATTTTCTTGAGATTGAATCCATTACAGATCCTTCATTGCCTTGTATCCGGTTTATCGGAGATGGTAGAACCTTGCAGATTAGTACAGTTCCGGTTGAAGGCATTCAAATTGTTTAGTTGGTTTGTGAAGAATGAAGGTGGTGGTTTTGCTTTGTTGATGCTATCACAGTTGAAGGCATTCATTGCTTTGATTTGATAATAAAAATCCCAGATTTGTTTGCAAAGCTTTATACAAATTTCTTCACTGACTTGGCTTGCAAGTCACTCATCACCAAGCATTCTATGTATATGCTTTTTAATAGACTTCAAAAACAAATGAAAAGAATTTAAATATTTTCTTTTCAACGAGTATTAATTGATCTGCAACCAAAAAAAAAAAGTTGAGAGGATATAACAAAACTTGCTCAAAAATATAATTTTAATATGGGTAAAGTATAGTAATGGTCACTAAACTTTTCTAAAACTTTCATTTAGGTCCCTCAACTTTTAAAACTTATAATATAATCCCCCAACATTTAGTCTGTTTGCAATATGGTCCCTGACGTAACTGTTGGAGACCATACTACAAACGAACTAAATGTTGGGGGACTGTATTATAAGTTTTAAAAATTGGAGGACCTAAATAAAAGCTTTAGAAAAGTTCAATGATCATTACTATATTTTACCCTTAAATTTATTTGGGTAAACTACATAAATGACCACCCAACTATGGGCTTGGTCTCGAAATAACCACCATTTTTAAATTTGCGTCGATATGATCACTGAACTATTTAAATGGTTTCAATATAACCATCTGTCGTTAACATTTAACAGAAGAGTTTATGTGGTAGTTAACCAAGTTGGTATAATTAGGACGCAAGTCCTTATAAAGTTACATATTTGAGGGGTTGGAACCCTACTTTATTTTCTTCCATTTTGGTCACTACTTGTATATGATTTGTTTCATTGGATTTTCATTTAATGCAATTTGATCTTGATTTTGTTTTTAATTTGTCTAATGCCTTAATTTGATCATATTATAGTCATGTATTAAATTTATAAACATGTGATCTTCCACTTTTGTTTGTTCATAATGAGAGACTGGTAATCATGTAGACATACCAGCCTTTTTCAAGGCAT